AAAGCATTTCATTTTTTTATGGTTTAACTCATCAATATTCTTATTCTTACTTTTTCTATAATTTTTTTGCTGCTGCAAACACCAGAATTTCTGTATTGTTGGACAATAAAGGGATTTTCTATTCTGTTCTATTCTAACAACTGGTGATAAGATATATTATAGAGCCGATATAATGGAAGGGTTATGTAAGGTCTCACTACAGCATCTAAATTACATTTTATATCTTGGCTTGACAAGACTACTCTTAAGCCATTACTTTTGGTGAATTGAGCAACACTCTTGCTGCTGAAACCATGTGGATCTCAGTTTAAGATTACAGGTGGTCAGACATTCTCTTTCAGTACTATGTGGAGTAAAATTTGTGGTTACATCAGTTTTGATATGTCTTCTATGTCGTGAAGCAGCAAATAGCTCCAGACCATCACACTACATCACCTGGTTTTAGTATGGGTATAACTTATAGTTTCTGAAAATCATGTTGAGGTTTTGCAACAGATAAAACCTACAAACTATTTTTATTTCTGTCTGGCCAGTTCACAAAGTATTTTCCAAAAGCCTTAGGTACAGCTGAGGTCTTTGCTGACCATAGTGAGACAAGCATATCTGATAATTTGGCTTTATCTTAAAACTCTGTAGTTACTTACCTATTTTTTGTCATTGACATATTTAATCCATGAAAAAGAAATAAGGCATACCATGCTTTGGTTTCTCCCTGATGAGTTGCACTTTTCTTTAAACAAAAAAAGGGTCAAATTAACTTTTTATGCCCTGCCTCTTCAGAAACCAATGACAAAGTCATGCATATTTAGTAATGAACACAACTACCCTTGTGGTCTATACATCCAAGTCCCAGTGTGGTCAAAGTCTGGTGTTTGTCATAACATGCTATTATCCATGATGTTGGCGTCCAGTGCACTATGTGAAGCAGAGAGGGACGGATTAATTACATGTTTTTGCTCTGGCCAGAAGTTCAATGGCATGCTCCCTCTTCAAGATGGCAATCTAATGGCTCAATCGTGGAGGATCATTGGAAAGGTGAAATAATAAAAAAAAAATATTTCACTTTTACCTGATGTATAACGACATCCAACTGCCATGCACATGGGCATTGTCAATTTAACTATACCTCTCAAAATTTTAAATAATTGTTGTTGACTGCAGATGTGTCTAGTAGTTCCCATTGATTATACTTGTAAAGCGGGGAGAATGGCACTAGGCTTACCGCACTGGAACGTCATTGCCGGAAGATGTCAGGAGTGAGGTGGTACTATATTTGGTCAAAAAAGACCATTCCCGGACTCAGGGAATGTGTCGAAAAATATTGCTTTTATTTTTCTACTGATTAATGCTAAATTCAATAAATAAGAGCAAACGTATTCTTTTTAGTTATAAATAATGAGCCACTGATTATTCCTTGCTGACCGGACTTTTCTTTTAAAGCTATAGTATATTTGGAAAAAAAAAAAAACTGCACATGCACAACCTTGTACCCGTTCCCAAGAGGGAACGCCTATTAAATGTGCACAAGCCCATTTCTCCTTGTGCACGCTCTGTTTAAAAGTTAAGGTTTGCATCGCTCATACAAGCTTTCTTTCCAAAAGAAGATTTGCAATTTTTGCAATATGCCAGACTCACCACCGGTAAGTGAAAATGGGGACGAGCATGTAGGACAGCCTTACGTAAACATATCACCAAAATGATTGACAATTAGGAGGACAACTTATTTAGATGATCCACCCGAAAAAAACATCCTCCACCATTAATATCAGTTAGTGCTTAATCCTATGTTACCTAAAGTAATAAAAGCAAATGAAAAGTTTTGATTAGAAAATGTTTAGTTTTCTATTTCACCAATGTTAGTCATTTGAGAGACTCTTAATCTACATTTCAAATTACTAAAATTGTTGTATTTTTTTTACTCAGTTGTATTTATTTATCCTGTGCATGGTGGTCTATTGAGTTTTAAGATCAAAAAAGAAAATTCTATGTACATTAGAAAGTAATTACTTAGAAAAAAATTGTCTTGGTTCTCTCATTATTTCTCTATTTGGTCTGAATCAAATTATTACAGAAAATGTGTTTATATTAACTAAGAAGTACCTTAAAAATATCTTACATATGTTACCCAGCAGGGTTCCACGTAAGTCCAAGAAATTATAAATGCCATCTGTTTCTGATTTAAGCCTGAGAGAAATCTTAAGATATATAAACTTAAGAGAGTTACGATCAGTTTACAGTATCTCACCTACTGACAGCTGGAGATAGGCACCAGCACCCCTCATGACCCCAGCAGGGATAAGCGTGACAGAAAATGTACAGTATGGATAATCAGTCTAGAAATTGGAAATCTGACTTCATGAGAACGTGAAGTATGCTTTAAGCTTCCCCTATCTGGCCAAAGCCATATGGCACAGGAATGAAGCAACATTTCTGCCAAAAGTCTTGCGCTTCAGTGGAAAAGATACCAAATCTACCTAGAGATGTCGAAGAGGTCCATCTCAAGATTTTCCAGGGTAAGTACATAGTAACAAAAAAAATAATGATTTTCCTCATGAAAAATGCTCCTATACTGAGAGAATCTGAGGGGAAGAAATTATTGCATAAGAAAAGTGCAATTAAAACTGTTGCAGCTCAAACTTTCCAGTACTGTACTCCAGTTGCACTGCAGCACACGGCATAGGGAGCTTCTCTGCACTGTTTGACCCTGGCACTGCTTTCTGCATAACTGTTAACACAGAAAATGTTTTCACAAGGAATGCATTTTTTTATAGATGTCAATTCCATGTACCCTGCATTCTCATATCTTTTGTGTATGGTCCAGAATATTAATATGATTATGAAAGATTTAATTTAGATTTTTCTGTACAATTTGTCTTAATACCGGCTTTTTAGTCCCAATTGTGGTGCTCTTTGATCATCTGTTTTCTAAAACATCTTAAAATATGCATGTCTGTTTGCACACTCACCAGCAAAAGGTCAGAATAACTGTTTTTTTACATCACAATGCTAAAGTATTTTCATAAAATAAATAGAAAACAGATTCTTTTTGGTATTATTTTACATTTCCTGTCATGCAGTCATACATTTTTTTCTCTTCAAAGAAAGCAACAAAAACATTCAAAGTCTTCCTGATTCAAAGTCCTTGGACAGGTTTTAGACCAAACCTGGGAGTGCAGTGCAAGCCTGTTATAACTGAACTGTGAACAAAAGAAAGCAAAAAACCCTTAAACTCTTTCAAGACACTCCAGGTATCTACTGACCTGAAAAAAAGGTAATACCTCAAACATTTTTTCTAACATTCAAGAGACAGAATAAAGCAAGTTTCTACATGCATTTTACACTTGAGGAGAGAACGAAACAGCAAAAGTTGCTCTTTGTAAAACATAAGCATACTTTTCACATCCGCTCCTGGCAGCATTAAAGATCCACTGCCAAAGGATCCAATTGCAAAAGTGCTGATGTAAGTTGAGGCCAACTCTGATGACATGACCTGCTTGGTCATGAGCCAAAGCCATACAAGGTATGATCAAACGCCTTTAGTTTATGCTTATATTCCTAATGCCCAATGCAAGAGACAGAATGTAATACAGTCTGGAATTGAGAACAAATTGCAGGAATACAGATATAAGTAATCTACAATGTAAAAAACAGAAATCTTTAGAGAATAGAGGTAGGTTGTAAGGATGAATTTTAAACTTATTGGCGTTGTTTGTGTGTACTTGTGTGTATGTGTATTGAACTACAAGGGAGCACACAGGATGTGGGGTATCCAGCAACTCAATAATGTGGAAAGCAGATGTTGCCCCAGAGTTTTCTTTCCAGATTCCTTGATAATCCTTTTCATCTAGACGCAAGGGTTCAAAATCGGATCAGCCTTCTCATTTTGCTTAAACATGATAATAAAGGATAAACATGAAGCCAATTTGGAGAAAAAAAAAAGAGATGTTCCATGCTTCAGGGTGCTGGCTTTAAGCCAGGAAGTTTTAAAGTCAGCTGGCTATGAGTTGTGTCTGGGCCTGGCTGAGGGGAAAATCACCATCACTGTTTCCAAGGACCATACTACTATAGTAGTTCAAAAATCTGCGTTTGTTTTTTTAAAGGTAGCACCATAAATCTCTTTCAACAACATTTTATTGATAATTATTTCCAATGTGTGACAGGTAATTGATGTTGCATATTTCACAGTGGGATTTTGCTAAATTGGTGACCACCTATTGCTTGATTTGTATGAATAATAAAGTTAATGTGCATCATACAGGTATTTTAGCTCATTAATAATTGTTGGAAAAACTACACATTTACATACCAGATCAACATCTACAGTGCTCCAGTGCCCGAGGAGTGAGGGGTCTAAAGAAAGCCTTTGTACACTGTAAAAAGTTATTTAGGTAAACTTAAAAAGCAGAACAAAACAAAACATGGAGATGAACGTGATCAGGTTAGATGATGCCTCAACTGAACTTTTAGCCTGCCTACAAAGTGCTTTGCGATGCAATAACATCACCATCCATGCCATACATGTTTAGCTGCATCCTGGTGTGGCGATTAAGTAAAAAAATATAGGGCAATTCAGAAAGAAAAGCTTTTATGCTTGCTGAAAACATACAACCAACCCTAGAAAAAAAATCTGAATTTTTTGGGAAGGCTTGAAAATGAATGGTTATAGGGAATCCATTCAATCTGTCTGAACTTGAGCGATTTGATAAATAACAATAAATACAAAAACACGCATCTGTTTCGTTTCCCTCCACTATAAAGTATTTTCTTTTAGTGTGTCACATAAAACAAGAAGAGAATCCCTGAAAATAATACTAATGTTAGTGGTTTAAGATTGAAAGAATGTGTGGAAAAAACAATATCAGTATGAATTCTTTTGCAAACCTTAATAGTACGATTACTCTTTATAATCGTGCTTTCATTACTATCAGTGCCAGAACAGTTGTTTTACTGAAAAAAAAAAAAAAAGCAACTTTCTCACCAGTTAAATGTTAAAAACTTACCTTAGTCTGCTGTTTTATCCTTAACTTTTTGATAACATGAATCCGACGTATGTGTGTGTATGCCAAGCAATCAAATTTACTTCGGTGTAGCTTTTTTTTTTTGCTCTCCTTGCCTGTATTTCCTTGAGTCCTCCTTAAAAAAGAAAGAAAAGAAAAGTTGCTCTGGGATTGTCTGTGTCCAACTTTCCCCTCCCTCTCTCCCCTCCCGCTGCTGCAAAGTCTACCTCCCTAGTGAGCCGTTTCGTATAATTTTTTTCCCTCTCAGTCTATCTGTTTGCCCCTCTCCCTTCCAGTTTCTTTTCCACCACCACTCTGTCTCTCCCTCTGTTTCTCCTCTGCTTCTCTCCCCTGTCTGCTTTGGAGACCCTGTTGTCAAACGTGCAGTGACATCACCTTGTCCAGAATGCTGGAAAATAAGCCCAGGGGCATCTCTTTAATCTCCCACTGAGCTGTTCCGGGTCTCTACCCCCTCTTTACCCTCTACTCCTCACCCCATTCACCTCTTACTGTGTGATTCATGGCATACTGGAGGGGAAAAGGACTTGCTTCCATTTTGCCTGGGTTAAAGCACTACAGTATATTAAGGTGGGAAATACTGATTACTGAGCTACTTGCTGCTGCATTATGTGAATAATTTACTCTATTAGGATTAATGAACTCACTTATCTAATTACCATATTACTGACTCACGTCAACAGGTCCTACATACTTTTATGATTTGGTTATGGAATCCATTGCATTGTAGCTTCTGTTGCAGCATCAGATCTTTCAGAAACTTTCTTTGAAATAGCTTTATTTATTCTACCCTTATTGTCACGAAGTGAAAATTCAAGAGGCAGATACACTTCAGGCTTACAGCTAATTCATATATGGCTCTGACCCTGCAGCTGCTGAGTAGGTAGAGAGAAGTGTACTGCTGTCCAGTTGACTTTTTCCTCTTCTTTGTTAAGATTTCAGCTTCAATTATCTGCCCATTATCTTTCACTCTCTTATAAATCCTATCCTCTGAAACTTGCTGTGGCTGTTTCCTTTTGTACAGGATCATTAATGATGTTTAAGGCTGTATTATAGTTTTGCAAATGCGGATAGAGCTGTGGCCTTGCAGCAAGAAGCCTCTGGGTTCAATTCTCGGCCAGGGGACTCTCTGCATGGAGTTTACATGTTCTCCCTGTGCATATGTGGGTTTTCTCCAGGTACTCCGGGTTCCTCCTGCAGTCCAAAAACATGACTGTTAGGTGAATTGACCTCTTTTATTTTCCTTAGGCTTGTGTCTCTTTGTGTTGCCCTGTGGCAGACTGGCGACCTGTCCAGGGTGTACCCACCTCTCGCCCGAAGACTGGCATTAACCCCACTACTCCCATAAGAAGGAGTAAGCTGGAGACAATGGATGGATAGATGCCCTCATTTTGAAACAACAAGCTGCTGCTTGCCATCTCTACGAATCTGGTATTTCTGAAAGTGTGGCAAGTAAAATGCTGATGCTGAAAGAAAGCAAAATGAAATCTGGTTTAGCAGTTTCAGCGATATATGTGGAAAAAGGTTAACTTAACAGATGAGACCAAAATATCATTTGTTACAAATGCAGGCAAATAATAGTTCAGATCTCTCTAAACATGACAGTAGGTGGTAAGACGCATTGATTAGTGTATAGAATTAACCAGAGACAGACAGTTCTTACTGTGCCTGAGATTAAATAAGTCGGAGCCTGTGATATGAAACGAATGTCAGTGCAAAAACATATGAGGGATCTTCCTTTTATTGACAATTGCTTGTCTACTAGACCATTAAATGACAAACCATACTCATCACCCTCTACACAGTGGTGAAAGCAGCATGCCTCACTGTTTTGTGTCACGGTCAAGGAATCTGCTCAGAGTTGATGAAAAGAATGATGGAGCTAAAGTTAGGCTTAAAAGTTTTGCATACCCTACCGTTTAAAAATTTTTTAAATGGGCACTGGTAATTAAATTAACACAGAAATAAAAAAAAATAAAAAAATTATAATTTACAAAGTGTTAATTTAATCAATCAATCAATCAATCAATCTATCTATCTATCTATCTATCTATCTATGCATATATGTATATATAAATGTATATATATATATATATATATATATATATATATATATATATATATATATATATATATATATATATATATATATATATATATATATATATATATATATATATATATATATATTACATAGACATAATTATTTGATTTGAAGTGAAATACACAATCTCCTAGTATACACAATCTCCCAGTTCTCAAAACAATTTTTCCATTGACTGGGCATTCTTTAAAATTTAAGTTGCTCCAGTAAAGTACACATTACTCACTGTGCTGCAGGTCGAGACAAGTAAAGATGGAGCCTGTATTTTCCCCTCCTTTCTGCTTCAGTCTATGGCTCCATCCCTGTAAAGTGAAAGAGTACGGTGACTCTCACTTGAGGAACAACCCTAAAGCCGGAGGCCTAGCCTTACCTCTGATTGCTCTCACCTGTAAGCGTCCCACTCTCTATGCTGTCATGAGGGTTTGTTAGCACTCTAATTGCTAGATAATGTTATAAATACGACTAGTCCAAAAGACCCAATTACATTGAATTAAGTTACTTACAGTATCAGTAAGAGGGTGAGCAGTTTTTAATTTGATTTGGACTGTTGTGATTGCTAGGCACATTCACCACTGCACCTACTGGGCTGCTGTTGAAGTGTAAACCACTTTCGGGTCCCCTGACTTGAAAGGGTACTATATAAATAACTACAGACCATTTTCCATATTTATTTTTTTCCTTTCACAGTTCCAAATGTGCAATTCTTTATATTTGATTTTTCAAATAAAACCAAAATCAAATACTTCTTATATATATATATATATATATATATATATATATATATATATATATATATATATATATATATATATATATATATATATATATATAGTAATGTGTATAGTGATAAGGATAGTATATAGAATTTTTTTTTTTACCTTACAGCATTAAAACATATGTTTCTATTATTCACTGTACGTAAGTCACAGATAGTCATGTTTAATTTGCATTGGAATAAAGGGGAATGTTTGCAGGCCTACAAAGCAAAGGCTGTCAATCTCAGGATTAACAATTTTTGGGACTACAGTAGGTCCTTTTCGATTGCTGAGGCTGCAAGTCAAGAGCCCCAAAGCAGGAAACATTTACATTAACAGTTTGGAATACAGTATTGCTGAGTTTTTCTTATATAAATTATGATAATAAACACCCCAAAATGCACAACTAACATAAAATTGCAGAGAATAAAAGGCCATCCTAAACAGAGCTTCCTAGGTGATTCATATATTCGAATACTCGCGAGGCTAAAACCTAACTTAAACATTTTGTGAAATAATTGACGAAATATGCATTGTTAACTTTCATAAATGTGGACATTCAACTGTATGTACACTAAAATGCATTTATTTTCATGAGTATGTTCCAGATTAATCTGGAGCAGTGGCACTCTGCTCGTCAGTCTCTATGAGTTGGAGATTGGGCCTCCATGCATTGAAGCAACCAGAGAGAAAGTAGGCCCCTGATTGGATAACGCACAAAATTCCATCACTTCCAGTGAGGTTAAGCCTCTATAGGTTCTATGGTGCAGGGGCACACCAGCTTGGGGTCATTTTTAAAGCTGGCTCCTTGATACTGATTGGCCGAACATGTAACAATATTTGACTGAAAAGATTCCCTGATGAGGCTCAGACTCTAGAAGAAAAAGCAATAGTTCAGTCAGAAACTCTCCTTGTTAATAAAACAGCAATTTTCATCCATTGTAGTATTGTGTTTTATGTATTTCAGTGTTAATTAACCCTTTAACTTTCATGTCATCTGTAACATTTGAATGTAATTAACACCATTGAACCTAGGGTTCATCATGCACATGTATCTGAAATAGTTTAAGGTAAAATATTTGGTTTTCTCTTTGGGCTTTGGGTGTGAATATCTAACCAATGATTTAGCATTCTAACATCAAAGATTATACAGCATATTTCAAGAAATGTTAATTTCGTTATGTCACTTGCTAGGACCAATGTCTTAGCACTTTCCTCTTTCACATTCCTACCACAGGCAATCCTTTCTGTTATTATTTCTTCTATGTATCAATTAATGGTTTAAGATCCATTTGCTATCAACTAGCAAATAAAAAAGCAAATTACAGCATCATTCACATTTATTAACAACCCTGGAAAAAGTGTGTAAGGCTTGAAATACATGCTAACTTTGATCCAGCTGCATAACCCTCATATGTTAAAACTGTTTTTTTCTTCATTAATTTGCATAAACATTTTAATTTGCATTAAACTTCATTAATTTGCAAATTTTGCTTTAATATATTGATGCACATATGCCAGATTCAAGTACATTTATAGAGCAGCTGTGACAAGATGCAGTTTTGAAAATAGATTATTTTTCCATTATATTTCGATTCCTGCACTGGTTAAATTAAATGTATAATTAGAAATCTGCTTTTTTGTTTAGAGAAGTGAGCAATTGGGGGCAGGTATTCCTCCTGATACGTGGTCATGGTAGGAAATTAGAACATAATTGGGCCTGAGAAGGTGAAGGCCTGAGTCAAAAGAAAAAAAAAAAAAAACATAACACTGGCTAACAATTAATCCGGGCAGCTAAACTTAGTACACATTTGAGGTAGTGACATCCTGGACATGGAGGTCTTAGGAACATTTTTATCAGAAAGCATTTTCCTGTTTCCTAGCTGAACAGGACCATTTTTTCTGGATAAAGATGCATAGAAAGCACATTCTGTAGTTATGCACACAGATATCTCAAAGGAAAGAAATAATAAAATTAATCAGTTTAACAATAAATACTTTGGATATCATTAGATGGATGTGTTATTTTGACAAAAGTAATTTAGACTGTAAACATCCATGCTGATATTACAAGATCCACAAATGTAGACTTGATTCAACTCAGACAAAAACAAAAGGAATGGCACTTATATCCATTGCTGTCATGTTTTTCTTATTTTAAACAGAAGTTAATCTGATTGACGTTATGGTAGAAAATAGATATGTGGTATCACATGATTTCTATTTTTTTTTTTTTTTTTTTGCCAGATCAGATTACTCTGTGATTTTCCATATATTCTCTATAGGTAGTTCTCTTTGCAGCACATCTAACATTTTCTCCTCAATATAATCTTGGGCTTGATTT